CAGTTTGGTTTGTTTGTGAAGTTACTGTGACCTCTGACCTTTTGGGACCAGAGCCTCACAGATGTTTTGTAAAATATTCTTTCTTATTTGGGGGTAAATAAAGCCCACACTGCCTGCAGCTCGGCCCCTCACAGAGACTAGAACAAACATATTCCCACTGCTTCTGAAGCTGACTAATTATTATTTTGTATCCTGGTGGTAAGATCCACTTTCAGACACAAATGAAGCTAAAACAAGAAGCTGTTGCTTTTAGAAGTCTGTCTGCCGAGGACGTCTGCAGCTCCGGCAGCATTTAACTGCTAATTATTGAGAAGGAGACCGACTTCTGCCTCGTCACACTCTACCTCAGTCAGTCCCACTCCTTTCATTTGCTTATGAAACACGAAGAAGGCAGGAGTAGAAAACACAGACAGCAGTAATCCACAGCGCTGACTCAACGAGTCAGTAATGAACCTCTCTGAGCATGTCAGGCAAAGCAACAGGTCATATTTGGCCTCATATCCGACATTCACTGCCTTAATCTTCTCGTGTATGTAGGAAGCCTTCATGCGTCATTACTGTTTGGATGTCCTGAGCAGTCGCAGGTAACTACAACTGCGTTATAAGCATGACAGACAGCAGACAGGATCATGTGTGAGGCTTTCAGGTGAATCCTACAAAATCACGCCTGACAACGACGGTGTCTGTTTGTCCTCCGTTAGGCTTCACGATGAACAACAATCACCAACATATTTTCTTGGTTTTTACTTTGTCATTTAAAACTTTAGCCTCAACAAGTAAGCTGAGCTGCTGAGAATCACGCTGTCTACTTCAACAGACATGCTCATAATTTGCTCGACAGCGATGCTCATTTCCTGTGTTTATGCGGTGGAGCTGGTGTGTGAGTGAGGCTGAAATCAAAGAAGCCGGGCTTGGCGGTTTTCTAATGATGGAGCCTGCTGTCTGACAGCGACCACGCCTAGATTTCTGTCAGCTTGTGTACACAGTAAACATGTGGTGTAGTAGTCGGAAGGGTGGAATCAAGGTGAAGCGAGTCTTTCTGACTCGAGCCCACACTGGTCCCGTTTCTGTGATATGCATGAAAGTACCATAAGACGTGAGGCACCTGCTACATGTCAAACCTACACATGTGAACTCGTTTCCATGATCAGACTAAGAGGTTCGGGTCAGGGTTCAGATGAAGCACGTAAAGCAGGATTCAGGAGGACCTGATGTCATGCTAGCACGCTGCCCA